TGTGAGAACTAAGGTGCATCTATCCCAAACATGGTATTTTCAGTGACCTCATATGCATGTGAAAGTTGGACAGTGATCGCTTCTCAGCCTGTTGGCTAAGATCAAGAGAAAGTTGGACAATGAATAAGAAAAACGAAAGAAAAAGAATAGTGAAAAACAGTGTAAATACCAGGGACTACCAGAAGACCAAAGAAATCTGTTGGAAAAAGTACAACCAAAACGGTTTCTTAGAATTGAGGATGGCTAGACTTCATATCACACTTTGTAAATCATTGCCAGAGGAACCAGTCCCTGGAGCACAACATCATGCTTGGGCAAGCAGCAGGGCAGCAAAAACAGAGGAAGGCCCTCCGTGAGATGGATGGACACCGTGGCTGCAACTGTGGGCTCAAGCTTAACAGTTGGGAGGGTGGGGCAGGGTGGGCAGTGTTTCCATCTGTTGTGCTACAAGGTCGCTATGGGGGAACCTACTTGAGAGCGCCCAGCACCAGCAATGTTTAGAACAGGGTGGGTCCCTCAGCCTGGGAACCTTTGTTGGGAGTCATCGGCACCTTCCTCATTCTCACTCTCACTCCCCCCCCAGCTCATTCTCAGACAGATGCTCATTCTCCACCACATCCTGGTACAAAAGGATAAAGAATCTCTCAAAGTAGAACTGAGTAAATTGGACACAGTGAGTCTTCTATCTGAAAGGTCTAATTGTTTTTCTCTTTTGACAAGGAATGAGATTGAACTTCAAAATGTTTGATATCATCCTTAAGTGAAAAAGAAATTAAACAAAAACAAAACCCCAACCGTGCAACTCCTTATCTCCCATTCACCAAGAAAAGTTGATGTTACATTCTTTTTGGCCAGTTTAAGCAACTTTAAATAGGCCAGGTTAGAGAAACGCTCTTGTTTTAGTAATCACGACAATAATAAAAGTCATCCAGTCGCGCCACGGGCTGGTGGGAAGACTGCCTGGATAGCACTCGACCAAGGCAGGCACTTCAGAAGAGGCTCACAGTCGATAGGTTTCCTCAGGTTGGGGATTCGTGCTTAGTCACTGCAGCACTCGGCTTATAAGAGGGGTTCATGTCGGAGAGGTACAGGACGGTGTTGGCATTGTTAGGAACCATCCATCCGGCCCCCCTCACGGTGACCTCATCCTCTCACCAAGCGCACAGTCGTGGTTCTGCAAGAGCCCTTGGCTGTCGTCCCTGGGTCAATCCATTTATTTCATCGAGGGCTTCCCTTTCTCACTTTGTCAGGGCCGATGTAACTGTTAAAACTTTGCAGCATTTCTCCTCAGAACTTGTTATTTTTTTCATATCACCTACTCTGAATTCAGTGAAGCTAAAAAAGCCTTAGACTTTTTAGAATCTTTGAAAAAGTATCCCAAGATGAAAATGTTTGATGCACCCCATAGTTAGCAAGGTACCAAGAAGGAGGTGTATTAATATATTATGGGTGTGAAGCTTCATTGGATGCAGCCGTTTTGGAGGTGTACACTTTTGCAATTCCTATCAAAGAGTGTAGGTGTTTGTTTTTAAGCTAACAAATTCCACTTACAGGAATTTATTCACTTAAAGGAAAGATTCCCATAAGCACAATGATGGGTGAACAGCACTGCAGTAGTGTTTGGAAAAACTGGTTTTTCTTTTTTGAAACACTCAGTGCGGGACTAGTTAAACAAATTCTGATAGTGTGTTAGGCCAGGTTGACTAGCAGAACAATCCAGTGACACCTATATATGTGTAGGAAAGAGCGTTTTATCAAGAAGTAATTATACATCAAAGAAACAGCCCAGTCCAGTCCAGATCAAGTCCACATGTCTGATACTAGTCCGTAAGTCCCTCTTCAGACTCCTGCAGCCACATGAAATGATGCAGAGTGCAGGGCGATCACAGGGCCGTGGGTGAAAAGCCTTGTGGATCCAGTGGCAGTGGCAGCGTCGCAGGGCTCAGTGTGGCTCATCAGCAGGAAGGGGAAGGCAGAGAGAGGCCCACCTCTGCTGAGCCATTTATCTTGGTGGCACCTCCAAATGAGGCTATCAAGCTGTGACCTGATTGACAGGCTAAACGCCACCCATACCTTCTTATGGGTGCCATGTTGGCATAAAAAAAACCTAACTGACATCGATAAATTCACACAGATAAATGCCAGACAATTGTTTAACACAGCTGTTCTCAACCTGCGGGTCGCAACCCCTTTGGAGGTCTAACGAACCTTTCACAAGGGTCGCCTGATTCATCACAGTAGCAAAATTACAGTGATGAAGTAGCAACAAAAATAATTTTATGGTTGGGGGGGTCACCACAACATGAGGGTTGTGGTCTTAGGAAGGTTGAGAACCATTGGTTTAAGGAATGACATGGAAGACTGTTGACTATGTATCTTTTATTTTTTAATTAGATTAAATTTTATTTTATCAAATCATTTTATTGGGGGCTTTATGACTATGTATCTTTTAAAAGCAAGTTTTGATGGTAATGTTTAGATAGCAGTGAATAGAAGATTTATGAATAGAGAATTTTAGAAGGATTCATGAGTGTGATGTGAGCATTAGGTAGGGATAAATGGTAGCTTTTATTTTTTACTTTATACTTCAGTGCTTTTTTTTCTTTACTCTGCACATTTAGTACTTTTATTAGAGAAAACTTGTTAAAGAGCCAACACGGAGCTAAAATTATACTGTTTTGTATTTATGTATGATTACAGATGCCCGTCTTTGCCACAGTTTTACTCCACCTATTAATAGCTGCTTGGCCAGGCAGAGTAGCCAGAACTCATCTTCTTGTGTTTTAGAAGTCAGTCTGAGGCCCGGGCCTGCCATGGTCTGCTACAAGAATGAACTGTCCTAACATCACTCCCCGCACCGCCACCACACACACAAATGTCCCAGAGCCATGACGACTGCCTCAGACCTAGACATAGGAGAATTTGTCTCTCCCTGAAAGAGGTGGCTTGTTACTGAATTGCTTTGAAGGGTCACTGTGAGATCAAAATTAGAAGATAATGACCGCTGACTATTTCTGTGTTTCTCCATATATCTTTTAATTCGACCCATCACCTTCACGAGGGTGGTCAAGACACTTGAGAGGTTGTTGCAGAACTATGTATGTGACAGAGCCCTCCTTACAGTGCATGCACGGTGCCCTCTGCTCCTGGTTTCAAAGAAGATGGCCCTTGAATCTTTTACTGTTTCCCACAATCGCCCAAAGTTCCTGAGAGTGAGTGTGCAGTGACAGAGCTCAACTTGACAGTGCCCTGAGCTCGAACCCGAGAAGTGGGCATTTCTCCAGAACTCTTCTTTGTGTGGTGATGGGTACAGGAGGGAGACTCGGTCAGGGGATTCATCTCACATAGCTATGATACATAGGATGACAAGAACGCTGATCATTTGACTCTTAATTTCTTAAAATTTATTTCCACCACACCGTCCGTCATTCCATCTCAGGTGTGGAATGGGACTCTCCAAAGAGATCCTCCATGTCCTGCCTCACTCTGCTCCGTGGAGACCTTCCTAGGAGTTCTGGAACTCTTTATGGCACTAAGGCTGGCCCTGGAGGCTGTTAGAACTTCTAATTGCAACTGGAAAGCATTTAGAACATTGTAATTGCATACAAACAAGATTATTATTTTGTTTATGTGCAGAAATTGTTGACTAATATTCATTCCGTTAGCCAACTCTAAAAAGCTGAGCAAGAGTCCAGCTCTGTAAAATAAGAAAGCAGTTGACTTTGAAAGGTATGTAAGCTTGTTGAAAATTATAGGCGATAGCCTGCTTGGTAAGTTCCCTCACTCCTAAACTGGGATGACAGAGCCGGACTTGTGACAATGGGATGCTGTATTTAAGACATTTACTTCAGTTCTTGCACATAGAATTCAGAACATCGCTAATATCATTATTAAACAAGGTGACTGCCTAACAACCTGTTATTAAGTGATTGATTGAAAAGTCTGTTGAAAAGCTAGTAGCACCTAAAATTCAATTCGGAACAAGGAGGGAAACGTGATACTCTGCTGAATGCTCGGTGTCGTTTCAAAATTAGACGTAGGATAAGGTTCTTATGTGGCTCTGTGGTGTGGGGAGGCAATGTGTTGAATTTTGGGAACACCCTCCTAAAAAGATGGGCAAATGATTATACAGCACTTGAAACTAAAAGAACTATTGAGTGTACAGTATAACCATTACTGTGAGAGCCTTAGTGAACAG